TTTATATTTACCATCCATTGTATTAAACTGTATTGCATTATAATTTGTTTTTGTTCATTTTAAGATACAAGATTTCTCAATTACTTTTGTGTATCTTTTTATATATCTAAGTTTGATCCATAATCACTAAGTGCAGTTCAGTATTCTGATTATGTGTGTGTTTAAATATTTTTTGGAACCCTGCCTTATGTGAGCTACTGATTTTCCAGACAAGCCATTGGCTGACCCATGAATGATATCAGATGCTACAGTCCAGGATACTGCTATATTAACCTGTTTCTGGATACTTTTATATCTGTTAGATTTATTTCCTAGTGAAGTCATAGTCTGTTTGCACCACCTGTGGCTGTGACTGTTGCTTTAGGATATCTTCTACTTTAGTTTTATGGATCAGTTTATTGTACCATATGTATTGAAGCAAAACCAGGGAATATGAGAACTAAGAGAATGAGCTAAAACTCAGAAGATTCAATATATTGCTCTTTGGCTAATCCCCCCTGAAGTCTAGAAAATATTTTTGCTCACTTGTGCCATAACAGAGAGAACCTATACCATTTACAAATCACACTGATCCTACCCATAACGGAAATACATATCCAAAAGACTGACAAGTTCCCTCTGCATGAGAGCTCCAGCAATCCGTGGTGATTGTTTTGGCTTTCTCTAAGGGTTAAAGGACCACTATAGGCACCCAGACCACTTCAGCTCAATGAAGTGGTCTGGGTGCCAGGTCCATCTAGGGTTAACCCTGCCTGCTGTAAACATAGCAGTTTTTGAGACCCAAAGACCCTATAGTGCCAGGAAAACGAGTTTGTTTTCCTGATACTATAGTGGTCCTTTAACCCCTTAATGCCGTTACGGCATTCTATGCCGTCCCGCATTAAAAGGGCTTTAAAGCCGTTGCGCCGGCATAGAACGCCATAATGGCTTGCAGCCCCTGGAGGTCCGGCGTACTTACCTCTGCCGCGATCCTCTTCTGGATGGCTTCCTGACAGCCCAGACAGCCCTCCCCCGGCAAATGAGGCCCCCGGGGGCCATGTGATCGCTTTCAAAGAGCGATCACATGGCCCCCTATAGCTGGCTGTGGATCTGCCAGCAGGGGGACTGTCTAAAATGTCAGACTGTCCCCCTGCTGGTAGGAGGTGTAAAAAATAATAATAATTAAACATGTTTAAAATTAATTAAAATTATTTATATATATATATATATATATATATATATATATATATATATATATACACATGTTATATATATGTAACGTCATACAAAGTGTATTTTAATATTAATATAAGTACATATATTAGTATTAAAATACACTTAGAATGACGTTACATATATATAATATGTATATATATACACATATATTATATATATATACATATATACGTATAATTACAATAATAAATAAAATAATAAAATAAAATATTGAAACAAAATTTAATATAAATTATATATTCATATGTAATTTCATTCTAACTGTATTTTGTTATTAATATATATATATTGGTAACAAAATACACTTAGAATGACATTCTATATATATCTATCTATATATAAAATACAAATAACCGCAAATATATATATATATAGATAAATACATATAATTACATAAAAGATTACATTGGTATACACGTAGAATTTAAATACCTATAAATGCATATATATTAAAATTCTACGTGTATATTTAAGTAATCCTTTAACATAATTATGTGATTTGATTAATTAAAATTTGATTGACATGCCTGACAACACAGGGAGAAAGTGCAGAGAATTTAATTCGCAAGCACTATATTTGACCCTGTAACTCTCCAAGACACCATAAAACCTGTACATAGGGGGTACTGTTTTACTCGGGAGACTTCGCTGAACTCAAATATTAGTGTTTCAAAATGATAAATTGTATTACAACGATGATATTTTAAGTAAAAGTGAAGTTTTTTGCATTTTTTACAAACTAACTGCACTTTTATGGACTATATTATTGTTGTTATATGTTTTACTGTTTTAAAACACTAATATTTGTGTTTAGTGAAGTCTCTCGAGAATAACAGTACCCCCCATGTACAGGTTTTATGGTGTTTTGGAAAGTTAGGGAGTCACATATAAGACTTGCATTTCATTTTTTTGACATTGAAATTTGCCAGATTGGTTATGTTGCCTTCGAGAGCGTATGGTAGCCCAGGAATGAGAATTACCCCCATGATGGCATACCATTTGCAAAAGTCGACCACCCAAGGTATTGCAAGTGGGGTATGTCCAGTCTTTCTTAGTAGCCACTTAGTCACAAACACTGGCCAAATATTTGTTTTTTGCTTTTTTCAGACAAAAACAAATGTGAACGCTAACTTTGGCCAGTGTTTGTGACTAAGTGGCTATTAAAAAAGACTAAACATACCCCACTTTCAATACCTTGGGTTGTCTACTTTTTCAAATGGTATGCCATTATGGGGGTAATTCTCATTCCTGGGCTACCACACCGTCTTAAAGGTAACATTACTAATCTGGCAAATTTCAATTTGAAAATGTAACGTTCTATATTTGACCCTGTAACTTTCCAAAACACCATAAAACCTGTTAATAGGGGGTACTGTTGTACTCGTGAGACATCGCTGATTACAAATATGTGTATTTTTTTGCAGTAAAACCTAACAGTATTATGACATTAACAGCTAAAATGTCAGACGGAAATACAAATTTTAAAAAAAAATCTTATTTTCTCACAATTTTATTCATAATAAATTATATTACATATATATGAATAGTTAATGATAAATGAAAGCCCTGTTTCTCCTGAACAAAATTATATATAATAAGTGTGGGTGCACTTAATGTGACAGTGGTGAATTACGGTTGAACAGACATATAGCGCAAATTCCAGTTTTTGTTTACGTTTTGTTTTGATCAGAACGTGTACTATTGACTCAGTCCTGAAGGGGTTAATGAGTTAATATATCTGCTTTGGATGTCTGTGCATAAACTGTTGGTCATAGGTCTGCAACCTGACAGGCCCATTTAGCCTTCATCCTGCATCCAAGGATAATACATTACTAAATCGCATGAAAACAGAAAGATCGGTAGCTAAACATTAAGATTAAACTTTCACTTTACAATTGTCACATATACAATACTATATAGGTTTTAACTACATCCCAAGAATGTTCTTTACGGAAAGACTTAATACTACACCCTCCTTATTTACTACATCCTCTGCAGAAATTATCTTGTGTAACTGGAGGTCAAACTCTCTTTTGCGGTGGATCAACATTGTTAATTTGGTGTTTATTTAGTCTTTTAAAAAAGACTCCTGGCCATCTAGTTCAAACTTTCACATGTGTCTTTTGTCAAAAGGGGAGGGATTGTTCCTTCTTTCAATATTCCAATTAAATTTCAGAGAAGATTGAATTTATGTAGTATTTTGGGAGGTTTCTGAAGGTTGTGAAACATTATAAACATTTTTGGCCACTATAGGTTCTTCACATGACAAAACAACCCTTTCTTGTGTATTATTATATATTGCTTATATTATTGTAACTCATATTAGTCACTTCTAATACTTTGATTAACACCATGAGTGACAGAAATGTTTAAGCCCTTTTAAGTAACAGAAATTGTGTTATTATTATTATTATTGCCATTTATATAGCGCCAACAGACTCCGTAGCGTTTTACAATATTATTAGAGGGGAGATTTAACTATAAATAGGACAATTACAAGAAAACCTACAGGAACGATGGGTTGAAGAGGGCCCTGCTCAAACAAGCTTACAGTCTATAGAAGGTGGTGTGTAAAACACATTAGGACAGGATGTTAAAATCATATCATCCCCTTTACATCCACTTTGAATTGTGCTCTCTTCCGTCCCCATAAAAAAGTGTCTTATCTATGTAGAAGGTCTCTAACTGCTTTCATTCTGTCTTTCCATGAGAAACATACACTATTTTACCAGAATCGCTAAATATTGTATGCATTTTTCATCTCTATTCTCATCCATCAACTGTCCATTGCTCTACTTAAATTATGGGCCATGCTTCTTAAATCTGTGTGTTGTCAGCAATTGCCAGCTATTTTCACTGAAACTATATCTTACAAATATAATACTCTTTAGCGCTTCACCAATACACTCCTCTCATTTATATATCTTACAAATGTTAAAGTGAAGTCTACAGACAGGGTTCTCTACTCTTTATACGCTATCATGCCTAATTATGTCTCCCTCTGTCTCTGAACACCTATACTCAATTAATAAAACCGTGTAAAGTGCTAGGTAAAAACTGTTCAATAAATGAATATTAGCAATTGAGATCCAAATGATGAAGTTTTTTCCACTACAATATCTACCAGATACATATCTGATATAAATATGGCTTTTAAAACTTATGTATGTTTCTAACTTTGCAGGATTCCTGGATTTTTTCTTTGCTTGGCTTCATTGTTCCTGTTGATTCTGCTTGCTACAGTCGGGAGTATACACGCTTTCTTAAAGAAGTATTTGGACATAAACCTTATGAAGAAAATAGATAATGTGTTTTAAAGTGCATCTATGATGAAGAACAAGGGGTCAAAAGTGGTCTTTGACTGTGATTTTGTGATTATGTCAGAAATCAGAATTCTTTGGGGGGGATTTTTTTAAAGTGCCTGTAAGTGAATGTTTGGTGAAAATTATTAAATCTGTCAGAATTTTTCATGCGTGCCTTTTTTTGTGTGCAGCCTAATCGCCATTTTTAATAAGCGCCATCTTTCACTAACACAACCCATTTGTGAATATTTCTGACACTTTTTCCAACAGAAAACTAGAAGATTTTGGGGGGGGGCGTGGTCTGCAGCCAGAGCAAGCTGGACATGTCCAGGTGAAGCTCCGCTCGGATCTATAGACCGACAGCTTACTACAGCACAGCGACACGGCTCTCTTTGCGGCGAACCACAAAGGAAAAGCCATGGACAAACGGATGGCAAAAAACACCCGAAAGAAAGGGTGGAACAGGGCGCAACAGTGTCCGAGATGTTTGCGGCCGCCCGCACCATGAGGTTGAGCTCCCAAGATGGCGGGAGACGGGAGAGCCCAAAGATCCCACACACACCCCCTAGCCCGGAGGACGCAGCGGCCCGTGCACCATCGGAAGCTACTGCTGCTCAGATCCTGGAGACGCTAGCGGAGGTGAGGACCTACCTTGCCACAGAAATTGTTAGAAACACGAATGAGGTTAAACTGGAGATCCTGGTGGTGGGAGCAAGGACGGCGGCACTAGAACTGAGGCTGGAGTCTACGGCAGTGAGTCATAACGCGGCTGTAGCCCAGATTAACCGCTTAACTTCCAGGCTGGCGCTGATGGAATCCACCCTGGATGATTTAGGTAACAGATCGCGCCGGAACAACGTCCGGCTGCGAGGCCTCCCGGAACAGGAAGGAGAAGGACCCCAGGCAGCGGTGGCCACCGCTATATTTAAGCCACTACTGCCTGAAGTGCCGGAGCATCTGTGGCATATTGAGAGGGCTCATAGAGCACTTCGGGCGAAATGGGGAGACAACCAACACCCCAGAGAAGTAATCGTCGAGTGGAGACAAGTTAGAGCGGAGCCGCTGCTGGCGAGGGATCAACGGCGTGTGTTGGGAGGGTATTTTTTACCGGGTATGGCCCCTCGACGGGAGATCCCTTGAGGCGTGGTCCAAATGGCCCTGATGCCTGGTCTACATGGAAGGGTTCCATGGTCCTGGGGCTCCAGATTTCTGTGGGGGTTAAACCCAAACTTGGGCAGGGTAGGGATGCTTTCGGGGCTATGCCCCTCTTTTTCTTTTCTTTACCTAGATGGGACCTAATGCCGTGAATTTTGGCAATGGGAACAAGAACTGCTTCCCACTTTTATTTACGTTAACATTTGCATTTACGGGACAATCACAGGGGGGCTCTCGGAATATATACCCGGATGCATCACGGTGTTCCTCCAGCGGGTGGGGGGGGGACGTGTTTTCCATATCATGTGAAGATGATATGGAAAACACGTCCCCCCCCCGGTGCCTTTCAAGGTTGGTCTGGTCCCTGCTGTTCCAGGGTTCGTTGGTACACAAACCCCAAATAGACCTGGCTATGGGTAAGACCAGGCGATCTTTGTATTATAAGTTATTCTCTCTCTTTTCTTCTTTCTTCTTTTCTATTCTTTCTACCCGTCTCTCTCTTTTACCCACACCTTATACCTTGTCCCTTGGGGACGGACCAGAGGAGACCAGACGGTACGGATAATTGCAGGATGGCCGAGAAGGTATAGCCGTATCACCGAGTCACCACCTATGTGGAATACATAATTGGTGTGGGTCGCACAGCGACAGAATGGGTGAGTGTAGCATGAACCTGTATGACAAGACATGCCTGTAAAACTATTATCTTTAAATGTTAAGGGCCTTAACGCCCCTAGGAAGCGGCGACTAATGTTCAGAGAGCTTAACCCTTAAGGACCAAACTTCTGGAATAAAAGGGAATCATGACATGTCACATATGTCATGTGTCCTTAAGGGGTTAAACGCATCAACCCTGACATTGCATTCCTGCAGGAGACACACATACCGGCGTCGGCAAAATTTGCTCTCAGATATCACATGTACAGCATCACGTACGAAGAGCCCTTAACAAGAGAAATGGGGTAGCCATCACACTAACCCCACTGATATCGCTAAAGTCTTCACGAACTACTATACTACCTTATATAACCACTCAAAAGGAGACTCTCAGGGTGCCTGTGACCAGACGGGGGGTATACAGGAATTTCTGTCTCAGATAGAGCTCCCTAAACTCCTCGAAGCGGATGTGGAAATCCTGCAACAACGGATCTCGGCTGATGAAGTGGACGCAGCTATATCAGCGTTAAAAAGCAATAAAGCACCAGGCCCAGATGGCTTCGGCGGTAGCTATTATAAGATCTTCCGTGAGGAACTTGTACCTCACTTGGAGACTTGGTGCAACGATTTAATAGAAGGGGGCACGCCGGACGGGGATATGTCCCTGGCAGACATAGTTCTACTACCGAAACCTGGCAGGGACGAAGAGATCCCTGGGAACTTCCACCTGATCTCCCTGATAAACCACAACTCTAAAATTCTAGCAACAGTTCTAGCAGGCAGACTGAATCCGATGCTTTCCCGACTGGTCCACGCGGATCAGGTGGGATTTATTCCAGGAAGACAATTGTTTGAAAATACGAGACGCCACATTGACCTGATTTGGAGGCAGGCCACCAGGGGCACGCCGACCTTGATCCTGTCGCTAGACACTGAGAAGGCGTTTGACAGGGTCAAATGGTTATATTTATTTGAGGTCTTACAACACTTTGGCATGCCGGCCCAATTTATCACCGCGAAGGTCGCCCCGTTTCACTTGCGCAATGGCACTAGACAGGGCTGCCCCCTATCGCCTTTACTATTCGCTCTATCCCTAGAACCCTTGTTACAGAAGATACGCGCTTCCCCGGGTGTTAAGGGAGTTGCAGTGGGCGGACAGCGATACGTGGTTTCCGGATTCGCAGACGACGTGCTCCTAACAATAACAGACCCTAAAGACTCTATGGTAGCATTGGCAAACATATTACAGACATATAGCAATCCCGCTGGTTACAAAGTGAACCTGAACCTACATAGGAACGACCAACCACATACATATAGCTCAGGACTCCATCAAATATCTAGGCATATGACTGACTGCCGACCCAACTCAACTATACCAACATAACTACACCCGACTGATCCGTACTTTAATGGGGGATATGGAGAGATGGCTGGACAAACCTATCTCATGGATCGGGCGGATTCACTCAGTCAAAATTAATATTCTTCCTAGAATACTTTTTCTATTCCAGGCCCTCCCGGTCCGAGTGACTAAATCTCAGTTAAGGTCACTCCAACAGGCTATAGGCAAATTTGTCTGGCAGAACAAGAGACCTAGAGTTTCCCAAAACGTGCTTTTTAGGGCTAAAAATAGAGGGGGCCTGGGACTCCCGAATCTATACTATTATTACATTGCAGTGCAACTGACCCAGATAGCACTCTGGCACTCTCCCCCAGAGGAGAGAAGGTGGGTAGATTTGGAATCCTCCCTTACGGAGGCGGATTTCCCCCAATTCTTGATATGGATCCCTAAAGAACATAGGCAGACGGTTCAGACAACATGCCCAGCTATACTACACTCACTTAAGATATGGGATGAGACTGCCGTTAAATACGGCCTGACATCCTCTCCTCCCCGATGACCCTATTCCTGCGGAACAAAGCGTTCCCCCCCCCGGAATGGCAGCTAGGGACTTTAGGGGTATAGAGAATATGGGATTGCAGAGACTAGGACAACTATTCGAGAGTGGCTCTATGGTAGTGTTTGAGGAACTGCAAACTAGGGCCATATTAAGACCGTTTGACTACTTTCGTTATATCCAGCTACCGGACTATGCACAAACTCCACAGGTTAAGAAAGCGGCTCTAACACAACCAACGTTCTTCAAGGGGATGTGCCTCAGGGAAATGTTTCCTAGCGGGCTAATCTCCTGCCTCTACACTCACCTGAGCACTCACACCTTGGAGTGGGGACGGATTACATATACAGACCAGTGGGAGGCAGACCTAGGGGAGGAGCTGGAAGGCAAAGAATGGCAGGAAATATGGGAGGCCGCCGCGGCATCCTCTGTGTGTGTCTCCTTGCAGGAACAGTCATTTAAGACATTATTTAGATCGTACACTACACTGGTGAAACTACATCGAATGCATGAAACTGCAAAGGACTTGTGTTGGCGAGGATGCGGACAAAAGGGCACCTACATTCACATGTGGTGGGAATGTCCAGAAGCGCAGTCATACTGGAAGCGGATAGAGGCACTAGAGTGAGATATCTTTGAAAAAGAGGTCAAACTAGATCCATGGGTATTCTTACTGGCTAGATCCCTGGAGGATTGGACACGAACGGAACAAAACCTTCTCCATAAGATAAACCTAGCGGCCAGACGAACTTTGGCTCAGGTGTGGTTACAGAGGGAAACACCCACACGCCCCATGATGATACAAAAAAATAAAATATACTTTCCTTATGGACAAACTAACGGCACAGGTTAGAGGGATGTTGAAAAAGTTTGAAAGGACTTGGGGCCCATGGATGGCCAACGCAGCTAGCGAATGAGGGAAGGGCGGGGTAGACTCCCCAACTCCCCCACGCACCCGTTATCTCATAATAGAGGCCACGAGATGGCCGAGTATAGAGCGTGCCACCGTCTGAGGGGACTTTGTGGATCCCCTTAGGAGACACTTATACGTTGAACTACCTCAGTGCATACTCCCAGTATGGCCCAGCAATCTGTCAGCGTCTCACTTGTGGCAAAATGGTCAAACTCCCATACCCCACCCCCCCAATCTTTTCCCCCCTCCCTTTCCTATACTATCTCTATTACTTTTCTATTTATCCTTACAATCATCTTCCGACTCACTTCGTACGACTTTGCAGCATAGATTTAACACTAGGGATCAAAGGGTAGGAATGAGATGGTTCAGATACCATAAGGCTCTTCACCACTCCTGAGCGGGAGGTGTCCACTGAGAAACTATCATTCCTATCTTGATGGAAAACGTATGTATAGTTGTGTGCAGTTGCATTTTTATATATATCAAAACTCAGGGCGGGTTGTCAGGTGTGGCACGTTTTTGAATTGAGCCACAGACACATTGCACGGTTTCAATATACGGATTACTCATGTTATACCATCCCCGGCACTGCCTTTATTACCTATACCTGTGCATTTAATGATTAATGTACATTTATTAATATGTGTCTGTTTAAAGCTAACGGAAGTTTTGCTTATGCTGTATCTTTCATCCTGTCTTGCAATAAATAAAGAATTAAAAAAAAAAAAGAAAACTAGAAGATTTTTTCCATCACTATAAATTTGTCAGTCTTCTGAAATGGAATTTACTATGAAGAAAACTTTTTTTTTTTAGATCACTTTAATATGTACAATCACAATAATGATGGAATTTAAACAATACTTGCAGTGAGCTGGTAGTAGGGCAAGAAAAGCTAGATATAAAAGATTTATGGAAAATATATAACGTTCTATGTCAGAGTCATAAAAACACCCAGCTGGGGTAATGTGCAAATACTAACATGAGGAATGTATTTGTAAAACCAGCTGTGATTTGTAATTACATTAAACATGTAAGGGACAGCTGCAAATGTTAATGTGAGATAAGCAGATGAGATATACAATCAGGTCTCCAGGAGGTTAAATAGGTTCCACAGAAACCTATTCCAGTTCTGGATCTCCATTGGAAGTTGGGTTGCTGGGAGAAACTGACAGCATGCCACTTCCTCCCCGGGAGAGAAGGCAAGGGAAGGGAGAGAGCCCATATCTGTGTGTCTATGTGTCAGTGTATGTGTGTCTGTATGTGTGTGTATCTGTGTGTATGTGCCGGTGTGTATCTGTGTGTCAGTGTATCTGTCAGTGTGTGTATCTGAGTGCGTGTCAGTATGTATCTGTGTGCCAGTGTGTGTGTGTGTGTGTATCTTATCTGTATGTCAGTGTGTATCTGTGTGTATGTGCATTTGTGTGTATGTGCCAGTGTGTATCTGTATCTGTGTGTCTATGTGCCTGTGTGTGTATCTGTGTGTCAGTGTATCTGTCAGTGTGTATCTGTGT